TTACAAACTCATTTTCATGAATGCTGTCAAAGGTTGAGCCAGAATGTGCTGATAAAACTCATTAAATTGTTGAAATATTAATCAAAAATTCCATCTGAATTTGATAAGTACTACTTAAAACTAAGTAATATTAAATCATCTTTTCACATTGATCAGTCTCTCCAGGATTTGTGATTATTTTTGTAGTAAAAAAATCACAGATTTTGTGATGCTAATTTAGAAATATTTGCAAGAAATTTTGCCATATTTTTGCTTACATATAGCAGTAAATGTCACTTTTTGTTATTCTTCATAACAATCAGGAGCTGTGTTTCGATTGACCATATAACTGTGCAATTTGACATTTTGGAAATAAATTCACTTAATGGAAACACGTCAATTGGTTTTATGATTGAATCAAAATTGGTTTATTTTGCTAAATTGCAGTGGGAAAACTTTTTTCACATCACAAGAGTCGAAAGATCAAAAACCAGATGTTACTACTGGCAGAAACTACAAAGAAGACGACAGGAAGTAGCTTGAGGTTCAGAGAGTAGCATGTTTTTTTTTTAACGACTTACCGCCTGAGCAAATTTCATCTTTGTGATTTTAATTGCATTTTTTATTTAGTGGAAATGTACATTAGCTGGGTATTGACAAAACTTCACGGACATTTGAAACAGAAACTGTTACAGAGTATAACTTGACATCTAGTAAGGCTGAGGCAGTAGAAGAAACACTGCCACCTGCAGGTGGGAGTTAGCATCACTTCGATGCAATAGTGTGGAGTTTTATTGATTTTGCGTCAATTTTTTCTGATGTAATTTGACAGTAAACAGATAAAATCTGCGTTTGTTTGATAACATAATGTTTAAGAACAACTGTTATCTTTTATGAGTCTAAAGGGACACATAAAAGGTTATGGCGGGCCAGATTTGGCCCTCAAACCTTGAGTTTGACACACATGATAAATCTTTGGTGGAACTGACAGAGACAGTAAAATATTCTCTTCTTTAAAGATCAAACTGAAAAATACAACAAATCATACCAAATCTGCAGTGATAAAAACTCAAACTGAGACATGAATTATTCACTTTGTGGATTTACCAACTTTTGTCATTAGAGTGTGATTCTCAGCTGGTGGAGTTAAGTCACATTTCCTCATTTTGCATCACGTTTTTTTTTTTTCCTTTTTGTACCATGATTGCTTCAGAAAGCCTTTCAGGCCATCTTCCTGTCTCATTTCATCACAAGAGCAAACAAACCACCTGTCAAGATCGAAGTAGATTAGGGGTTCAGAAGCACATTAACCAGCTCTGCATGCAGTCAACTGTCAGTGTTAAAAGCTTTGCTCTTCAGAGCCATTAGCAAGCCTGAATGTGAAGCTCCCTGCAGGCGCGGAGGGGAAGAAAATCACAACAGAACGAACATCCTGTGCAAGGCGTTCCTAAAGAGCTAAAAAAAGAAAAAAAACTAAGTAAAAAAAAAAAAGAGAAACAAACCCTTAGTTATAAAAAAATATCTCCCCAAAAGCCGGAGAAAAGCGGACCCTCAAAACAGATGTGTGTTTTGCTCATTTGCATGATTGGGGAGAGAAGGACTTTGAAGATGCCTTTTGATAACTGAAAAAAAAAAAAAGCAGCGCAGCAGCAAAAAGTCGCTGGAAGAAAATCACACATGAAAATGTTTAATTCATGTGCCGACTTCAGTTAGAAGAACTATCTAATGTGTTGGTATTTTATGGAGATTTTCTGGCTGAACGCTCCTTAAAAATGTTTTTTCTTTAAAGATCTCTTCCTCCTCCAAGACCACTGCTCTTAATCTCACTACTGTTTGCATAAAAAACATCAAGTAAAGATATTTTTAAAAAGTTTCCAAGGGAAAAAAACTAAAACATTTTATTGATATGGACGTGAAAGATGCTGTGATTCATTCATGTTTCAGATCTCACTATCTTCTGCATAAAATGGCAGATTTGGTAAACAAGGACGACTTACCAGAGTAGAAATAATTAAAAACCACAGAAGTTTGTTTTTTATTTTTATTTGGAAAGTGCTAATTTAGTCCAGAAATAATACACTATATCTCCTAATGGAGAAGGTTTTCCCCAACAAAATGGTCTCATTGCTAAGCTAGTGCTAGCTTAAGCTGCAATCTGAAAAGTATTTTCTCTCTTTTACCAAACAAATTTCAATATTAATCTAGATTTATCCATGTGTTCCTAATAATATTCTGAACATCTGAGTATAAAACATGGATCTAATTTTGTTATATTAACGGCATATTCCACATATAACTAAACGAAGCTATGCTAAAGGGATCCACAATTAGCGATAGCAACAGCCTTTATCTGAAAACATTTATTTCAGATGTAAAAACCATACAGTAAAAATGCAGTAGGCTGTTTAGTTTTTATAAATGTAAATACAATTTTATATTGTTTATGCTGCAATGCATTCTGGGTAGATGACGTATGCTAGGTGCTACAGAACTAGCTTCATCCAACCAGAACAGTAATTATTGCCCAATAAAAGTAATAAAACTTGATTTAGAGCGCGTTCAAAAAGAAAGCAAGAGGAAATGAAGAAGACAATGATCAAATTGAGGAAGAGAAGATATTCGGCCGAAAAATCTGGTGTTTGTGCTGCTTGGAAATGCTAACATAGAAGGAGATTGTTGTTTGCTGCAACTAGCTTCAGTTTTTAACTCAAGCTGTTTACAGTAAAAATCAAAACATTTCCTCAAATATATTAAAATGGTGTATTAAAAATAGAAAGATGTTTCATGGTGCCTGTAAAACATCCATTTATTATCTTCCTCTTTGTTTTGATTTTGTGTTTGCTGCTTCTAATGCTGTTAGCTCCTGCTAATGCTGTTAGCTACAGCTAATATAGTAAACAGTAGATCACAACATAAAATTACAACATATTTAGGCCAAAATGTTCAAGTAGCCGTGGATCCCTTTAAAGCTGATTCAGCAAAGTGGTAAAAAGTTTTTGCCCCTTTTCACAAAAATTACATTTTGCGTGTTAAAATATCCGTAACTGTTAAAAATTTTGAATCTGTTCCCTTTATTTCTTATCTACCTGAGTTTCTGCACCTTGGATCCTGCTCATCTGGGTCACGCTCAACTCCATGCACTACTTTCTGTTTTTAATATCTGGAAAAGAACGAGGAAGTGCATCCATTAGTGATCTGAAAGGTCAAAACACAACAGGTGTGGCAACAAGTAGCAACCAAATTACTACCTTCAGTTTACTTTGACATCAAAACAAAAAAATATGGAGACGAATGTAACTGCATTGTGATTGGCTCACACATCTACAGGTTAAGGTTAAAGGTGAACTAAATGTTTGAGCACCTGAATCACAACAGATCACAGCTTCAAGTTTTTGTTAATTAGTTAAAAAATAAATGGGGATTCTTTAACATTTTGGGGCTAAAATCCAACATGTAATCAACATTTCCTCTTGTTTTCTATTACAGGAATTAGCATTAGCGTCTTGCTAATGATATTTAGCGTTTTAAATGTTTTCTTTCTTGGATATAATTTGGAAAATAATTAGTGAAATTGTGATCTGCACAAAACAACAACAACAACAAAAAAAACAACAAATGATGGATAAAAAAGAGACACCAGACCTCCACTGATCTCCTAGCAACCTCATGAAGAGACTTTTTATTAAATTAATGGACAGTTTTGATAATAAACATTCATTTTTTGTGCATTTTTAAAATCCTCCTTTGGCCTCATAAAAAGAAAGGGAAATATTTCTGTAATTTGAAATGTTGCCTAAAGAAACATGTTTGTTTGAACTTTTGCTCAGATTTTTTAGGACAGGTGATTCATGAAGTACTTTAAATCTTAAAGATATAGTTTGATAGCTGAAGTGGGGTTGCTGAGTTAGTAATGAGCAGTAAGTATCCTACCTGCAGTCAGCCGCCACAATGTTAAACTCTCATGAGCTAGTAATGTTAGCAGCTATTTGGAACCAAGCTAACGGCTACTCAGAGGGAAGCTAAGAGCTACATCGATTCAAGCTAACGGCTACTCTCAGGTTAACTCAGCAGGTCTTGACGTTTAACAGAATTTTTTTTTGTTAAATTCTGTTTAACAACATATTTTTCCCATGTTATAAGTGCAATAATCAATATTAAGGAATTATTTACTTAAAACAAGCTCCTTTATCTTGCTAAAAAGTTACTTGTTAGTTTTGTCTTATTTTAAGTGTGCTAACATATTCGCACTAGAAACTAGACAAAAAACACTTAGTAAGATTTTCTAAACTTGGATCACACTAACCGCTGGCTACTGCAGGTAAAATAGTGACTATTCGTAATTACTACACACAACCCCACATGTCCTCTTAAGATATTCAAAAAGGGTTCAAAACATTTGAAGAGTTGACATTGTCATTCCACAAAGCAGCACACACGATTAAAAGGTTTGCATTTGAGCAAATAGCAGCTCAGACGAACTCCTCAAGAACCTGGTTAAAGGTAAAAAAAAATCCCTTTACATACGCAAACATTCATTCTTTTCCTACAGAAAAATGCCATGAGCACGACGGAGTATTAAGGCCACACTAAGATCAAATTTAAAAATGAAATTAAAAGGATAAAATCTTAACAATTTGAGAATAAAGCTGAAATATTTTGAGAATATTGTCAAAATTATTTTTATTCTTCCACTGTGATATAAATAAGTCAAAATATAGTAAAACTTTAATAACATAAGAATAAATATATAATAACATAAGAATAAATATATAAAATTAGTTTTTTTTTATTTAAAATGTTTTCCACTGTGAGATATACAAATTATATAAGTGGAAAAATAATACAAGAATAAAGTTGAAATAAGATGAGAATAATGTCATAAAGTTCCTTTTTAAATTAAATTATTTTTGACAGTGTGACATAAGCAAATCAAATAAAGCATAATTAAATAATTTTTGGAGATTAAAGTCATAAAATTACTTTATGTAAAAAAAATGTAATATAAACAAATTATTTAATAGAAAATAATAGGAGAATAAAGTGGAAATATTTGAAGTCATATTTCAAGAATGAAGTCTTAATGTTATGACTTTATTTTGATATATTTCAGTTTTATGACTTTATTCTGTAACTGTAAATGTTTTATTTTCGTCATGTGGCCCTAAAACTCACGTCAGGAACATCACAAACACAGAAGTTAAAACAGCCCATAAAACCACCTTCCACCAATGTTCACATTTACATTTTTAATATTTACAGTTGCTTAAACAAGGATGTGAACAACTCAGCTCCATATTTACACAATATACAGTAAAGGTCAAAACTGTGTGCTGTTCCGTGTTTTTACGAGTCCATTTTTGCATCCATTAAAGAGAGTAAGTGGCTCGTAGTGCAGCGTGAAGTCCGGAGGCGCGGTTCTGTCCGCGGCCTCCTCCTGGATGAACACCGGAGCGTCGGCCTCCGCTCACATGAAAAACTCCTTTGCGTTTTCACCAGAGGCGTTTTTCCGGCCCTCAGTCTGGTTGTTGTAGTGGAAATCTTGGCTCTCTTCCTGCTTGGCCGCCTTGACCTCACGACTCCGATACGTCTCTTTTCTCCTGTAGAGGAATCTGGCGGTTATGGCGAAGACGGTAACGATCACAAAGATGGCGACCGCTATGACACCTGCGGGGCAGAGAGCATTCGCAAACACAGAGACGATGTTTGGGTTGTGCAGCCCGGAAACACAGAACCGACAACGTCAGAAATCCTTCATCATTTACAGAATTTATCGATACCGGTTCCATTATCGATTAGTCGATTCAAATGAAACGGACATTTGAACATGAAACTCAACGAGCCTCGTCTGAAAATATATTCTCATTTATGAAATATGAATTAAATGTTAATATGAGAACACAGATAAATTAACTTTGCACCTGAAATTCAAGCATTTTCCAGGACTTCAACACCAGCACAGCTAGTTTGTAGTTATTTTTATGTTTTATGTATTTCTCATCTGTTTCTACACTTAAAAAAGTTTTTTCATACTTCAGACTTGTGACTTAAAATGATGTCTCAACAGTTTTGCATTTAAAGCAATAAAATATTTCCTTATTAATTAATTTTTTATATTTCTTTTACTAGCTTAAATAGCTACCAATTCGATTAATCGATTGTCAGAATATCGATAGATTACTTGAGTACTAGAATAACTGATGATTTGAAGTATTTATGTGTGAAAAAACTGCAAAAGAAGAAATCTCTGACATTTCCACTGCGCTGAAACTCCATATCATGAGTATAAATGCACTGTAATCATTTTTGTGGTCAATTAAATTTTTAAAGAAAGAAAAGAGAGATATGTTGAGGTTAAAGAGAGGGCAGGCAATTATTCTCCAAATGCATAAAATGTAAAAATCGCCTGAACTCGGCTCATTCTCTGTGAATCCAGCAGTAGGTCTCAGCATGTCGTGGTCAAATCGTCCCTTTTTGCCCTGCAGTCTGTTTCTTCAGCTAACCGTAAGTCAGTTCGCTCATTTCTCCAAGTTTATATTAATTGGAATTCCAGAATAAGTCTGAAATCAATTTCTCTCAGTATCTTTGGTTTTACAGCCCTGAAACATTTGAAGATAACAGAGGAAAAGAAAGAAGCTTCTCCACTCAGCTCAGCTGTAATTAGTTTTGTGCTCTTTGTGTGCCGAGTGCCAAAGTCGCAAAGATTCAGTCGATTTTAAGCGACTCGAGTCGAGCGGTCATGGTTCCAACCGAAGCAGAGGAGGAGAAATGAAATGTATTTCTGATGGAATATTTCTCACTGCTGTGGGGAAAGTTTGATAGTTTACGGAGAACCTACCTCCGATTAATGCCGAGTCCGACTTCATGGCGTTCACCAGAGGCTGACCAGAACCAACAGAACCAGACTGGTCTGCAGCAGAGAGACAGTAAAGAAGAGTGACAGGAAACTAGATTTAGAGTATTTTTAATGAGAATAAGAGCAGGACAAAGACATGCCAGCAGAAGTGATGACCAGATTGTGCTAATAAAACAGCAATATAAAGGCAAACAAGGACTTAATAAAAAAAACAATTGGCTTATAAGTAACCGTAATTTTAAGTACAGTTGATCCCCGCCTAGTTGCAATTAAATATTTGCAGATTTTCTTGAGGAACTTGACTTTAAATTAGTTACTTTTCTTTCTAGAGAGTACTTGATCAAACTCTAGTCCATTTTCCTACTAAGTCCGGTTCGCTTGAGGAGGTGTGAATGCAAATCAAACTCTGTCCGCCTACAAACCTCGGTCTCGGCCTAGTTAAAGTAAACCCTGGTGCAGTTTGAATGAAAATGTGAACGCCAAGCGGACCGGAGACCACTCCAAAGTGGGGAAATGGACTACAGTGCAGGGCATTCTGGGTAAATAATAATAACGAAAAAAACTGTTAGCCTAGCGTTAGCACAGAGCGAGAAATGGCTTGTGGTATTTTCCCAAAGACAAAACAGAAATCCTATAACCACTAAAATCTGACGCTACTCCATTTTTGTTTACAGTTTGTGAATTAGGAATTTGCGCTCAGTGTCTTGTTCAGGGGTTTTTCTGTCATTTCCTTCAATAGTTCTTGGTGCAGCGCCCCCACAGGCGAGGAGGGGAACAGGTTTTGACACAGCAGCAACTGAAAATGTAACAAATGTTGCAACAATAGAACTGAATCAATCAGACTATCAGGTGGGAAAACTTCCTAAAATATTAAAACGGAAATGCATCTTATGAAGCTGAGATGTTAATTTACTGAGATCTGGAAGGTGTGAAATAACTTTGGTCTTCTGTTGTTTCCTAAACTGCTGTGTACATAGTCTACATTTCTAGATGTGTATATGACCTGCATGTGTATTTATTGTCTGTTTATGCAGTGACTATTCTATTCTATTCTATTCTATTCTATTCTATTCTATTCTATTCTATTCTATTCTAAGATGGTTTCCAGTGTGTGTACTAATGCCAAAAATTGTTGATCATGATTGATTTGTAAAAGCAGATAAAGCACCCAGTGGTTGTAAATAAGTTTTATAGTTACTGTATTTAAGTTTACATGTATAATTTTAATCCTGTGCCGATTAAAGAACGTCCTAAATACATTCAAGTGCGTCTAGATAAAAATCATTCCAAGCCTGAAAATCTCAAACCTTTTGGGATCAGAGCAGAAAAATCTCCAAGAAGACGATGAAAATGTTGTCTAAGAAACATTTGTTTTGTTTTTTCCTCAGTAAATATTAATGTATTGCCCATCTGCTGATAACTTAAACACCATCTGTGAATCAAGAGAGCATAAGGCTGGGCAATTATTTCCAGAACAAGGAGAAAGGGCCTGTGCTTGTTTTTGAATCATATCTGCAGCTGCGGCCTGAGGATAAAAACTCTCCACTGAGCTCCGACCGAGGCCCATCTGCTGTTCAACAGAACCCTGGCCCAAATACGCTTTTTTACGCACAGATCGATCCGTCATCTAGGATTATTTTTAACAAACAGAAAGAAAACTATTTAAATGCAGGCATTTGAGAAAATGAAACACTCTGAACATTAAAGTACATTAAACCAGGCAGGGGGAATCTAATTTATCTTTCTCTGGTTTAACTGGTTTCAACCAGAAAACCTTTAATGTTGCTTGTATGAAACGTAAACGGGTCACAATCCAACTTTCTATTGTTTCTCAAAGCAGATAAGAGATTTTAAGACACACTTTCCTGATAGAAAATGGTGTGGTCACTTATTAACGACAGAAAAAGACAGAGTGAGAGATTTAACTTTAATGTCAGATTCTCACTGCAGTAAAAGTTGAAGAAACTCACAAAAGTAAATTTCCTGAGTTCCTTCTCACTCGGCAAAATAAAAGTTTCTCTGTTCAATCATATATTAATTGTTTATAACACAGCTGAAGTCAACTTTACCTGACAGGTGGTGCGTGTTCTCAGCTGAGTAGGGATTGGCTGAAGCTGACGAGCCGCAGTTGGACCGGACCAAAGGTCCGAGGACGACGACTGGGCTGGTGTCCGGGTGGAGCAGAGCCGCTTTCAGAGGGCTGATGGAGTTATACCGAACCACAGAAAGACAGCCGGCGAAGCCGAGCGCGCCGAGCCGAGCCAGGTCCGGATCCAAGGAGTCCGAATCTGAGAAACAATCAATCAATCAAGTTTATTTGGTAACACTTTATTTGAAGGGGGTTGAATAAGACTGTCATAAACATGACATAACACCCGTCATAAACATGACATAAGCCTTCATGAATATTTATGACTGTTGTTATAAAGCGTCATTCGGTAAATTATGACACTTTTAATACAAAGTTGACATTATTCAAAATGTCTTTGTTATGACAACTTGACATTAACCAAGAAATCATTACTGATATAAATTTGTTATAAAAGTATTACTGATTGCACTTTAAAAATTAGGTAACTTTATGTTATTAAAGGTAAAGTTTAAACTAATGATTTCTTGGTTAATGTCAAGTTGTCATAACAAAGACATTTTGAATAATGTCAACTTCGTATTAAAAGTGTCATAATTTATCGAATGACACTTTATGACAACAGTCATAAATATTCATGAAGGCTTATTCATGTTTATGACGGTGTCATGACAGTCTTATTCAAGCCCCTTCAAATAAAGTGTTATCGTTTATTTGTATAGCACATTTCAGCAACTAGGCAGTTCAAAGTGCTTTACATGAGTGTCATCGTTAAAAACATCATATATGCTCAAACCAAGTGGGATTTTAGCCTTGATCTAAAGGAAATCAGTGTTTCGGCTGTTTTGTGGTTTTCTGGATGTTTATTCCAGATTTGTGGTGCACAGAAGCTGAATGCTGTCTCTCCATGTTTGGTTCTGGGGATGCAGAGTTTCTCTAGATCTTTCTGCGACATCAGTCCTCTAATCCTGGAGATGTTCTTCAGGTGATATAAGACCGACTTTGTAACTGTCTTTATGTGGCTCTGAAGGTGCAGGTCTGAGTCCATCACTACTACCAGATTTCAGCCTGATCTCTAGTTTCTAGTTATAATAACTGACTCTAGATCGTTCTTCTTTAGGTCCAAAGATAATAACCTTAGTTTTGTTTCTGTTGATAGAAGGCTGATTTTGTAACCATCTTTATGTCTCTGAAGGTTCAGGACAGAATGCATCTTTCTTTTTAGACAAAGAATTCAAAAAGGTTGTTTGAAAACCCCTTTGGTCTAGTTAATCATGATACGCACAAACATTAGGCTGTCACCGAAGCTCATTGCTTTGTGTTATTACTCACTTCAGCTCATAAAAACATTCAATCCAGCTGACAAGCTGCTAAACATGCAGCTTTAACATCTGCATCCATCACTCCATGGGACAAATCTTCCCTCTCTGCCTTTATCTGTTAATTTCACCTACTCCTTCCTCTCCATCACTCATCTGAACTCCTCACTGCAGCGTAAACAGCAGCTGCTAAAGCCGACACAAACAGCTGCATCAGATGACTGAGAGCTGACTGTTACCTGAACACATCTGCATGTTGATGAGGAAACATTACAGCCGTCTCTCAGCTGTTGCTCTGCTCGCTACATCACGTCTCCTCCAGCCTCCCTGTGTTCCTTCTGGCTCCATTAGTTAGCCTGATGGATGACGAGGCTGGGGGGAAGCGACGGGAAATCCACGTCGCCGCTGCTTTTTCTGATTCTGATTTGACTTTGTACGCGCTCCGGTTCGACAGAGGGGGTCGTGGGTCACATTTTGACATGAAGGGGGTTAAACCCTACAGACAGCACTGGGCTGGGAGGATCGCTACATCAGAGGAGATAAAATTCATACCAACTGGGGTGACGAAAACACTCTGCAGGCAGATTATTTACAAAATATCATTAGGTCTGTCACTTGCTACAAATGTGCGCAAACTTTTATCAATATTCAGCTGATGTCTAAAAACACAGTGGCACCATTTCCATTAAAGAGCCAGTATAATGTATTTTCCAGACACATTGTGAAAACTACAAAAATCAAATATGACTTAAAAGAAATTTGACTTCTTTGAAATTGGGCCTCTGTCTCTTTAAAAACTCCAGATCATTCTGAAACTCCACCTTCAGAAAGTCATCACATTAACCCTTTAACAGCATTTTTACCAGCGTTTCATTGAGCAGTAGCTCGTATGATGAACTCGGCAGATGTAAAGTTCCACCAGGTGTTTGCTAATTGCTGCTGGCTAGTCTGAAGGAGCAGAGTGCGGAAGCCGCAAGCGACGGGTGCTCTGTTAAGCAGAAGCTTGTAAGTTTGGAAAATGCAGCTCCGAGGAGGAGGAGCTTTGTCCTCAGAGGCGGGGCTATGTCCACTGAGGCGTTTTGCACAGTTGAATGGTTGCCATGGAGATTAAATGATAATGATAATATTTTTTTAAATAAATAAATTTATTTATTTATGCTGTGATATTTAGTAACAGAAAGTGGACTATAAACAATTTTAAGAAATAGCTAATAGAAAGAGAAACTCTCAAAAGACTATTTTAAGATGTAACAAAGTTTGACTTCTTGGAAGAGAAATATAAAAGGGACAATTTGCTGCAGAATGAGGTTGAAAACGTTTAGAGGATTTAGCCAACAAAAGCCCAAAATTAAACTAGAATCTGCATTTCATTGCTCAGCAAAGAGAAACTAGAAGCAAACACAAAACTCATAGAAATGAATTTGTGTGGGTGGATTTTTCTTCACTTTCTGTTTCAACCTCAAACTTTTCTCTTAAATCATCTGGATTTGTCCTGCTGGTAACGTATATATTTACTCTCAGAGCTGAGAGAAAAACAAGGCCAAGCAGCCCAGAGTTTGAGCTGATGAGTCAAAGTGTTTTTTAACCAAACGGACCTTCGTCCATCCTGACTTACCCGGCACTCGGCCCAGAACGAGAGACCTGAGGCTGCCGAGTTCTCCAGCGAAGCTCAGGTTGAAGTCCTCTCTGGCGTTACCGTCGATCTGATGGAAAATAAACAGAACAATGCTCAGTATTTATGGTAAAGAAACAGGTGGAAGATCATTTTTATCTGAAAGGAGAGAAAAATTCCTCAAACATGAGGAGCTTTAAAAGTAAATCTGCTGTAGGAGATAATTTTCTCCACAATCATTTCAAGCCTCCTGCTTTCTATTGGAGAGCACTAAAGATAAAAACAATTCACAATGATATAAACGGATAAGAAGGGGCTCATATTTCACTGGTTCCTTACAAACGCCATGAATCAGGAGGCTGCACCAGAGCAAGACGAGGTCACCTTCTTATTTATCTCACTGTGTTTATAATTACACACACACACACACACACACACACTGGCTGCTGCTTAGATGCATTTCCCCTCGTATATCATCCGAGGTTGTTAACAAGATCGGTGATTCAGTAAGCCCAGATATGATTAGGAAGCTTCATATTTCATGGCTTTCGGCTGCTCTGTCGGAGTTTCTTCCAGGAAGTGACACGTTAGTGCTGAGCGGAGCTTCAGGAATAAAACGCAGCTCGGTTCTCTGTTAGACTTTTGCATAATTTACGTGTCCTTCAGATGTGAATCTCACTGCCAAACGAAGGCTGAACAGGTATAACATTAATTAGCTTCACATCTCGTTAACGACGACTCGCCCTCCACCTTAACTGAATGTTAAAAGCAGAACGGAAATTCACTGAAGCAATTAAACATTTGACAAAAAAATGTAGCGATCTGTACAGAACGGTTCAATAAGTGGACTTCACATCTGCAGGTACAGATGCAGATGGAGGGCAGACAGTTAATATTATGATCGCTACTTTTTATTCTCTATTATGGACAGGATACTGTAGCTTTAATAAAGTTTGCAGTTTCCCATTGCAGTTTTGCCAAATGCACTAATTTTGGTGAAGCTGAAAAAACATAATCTCATTCAAGCACGAAAACTTTCCAGATATTTCACTCTGGAAAGCTGAGATGAACCAAGATTTATAGCACTTCTTCATTTGTTCAACAACAACAACAATAATATATTTTTAAATAACAGTTAATACTACGCTGCCCTCTCCAGCTGTGCTTTTCACGTAATGATACAACATGACGCAAAGCTAATAAAATACCTGTTTTACATGATACCGACCTTTTAAAAAGAAACACTAGTTAGTTTTTAGAAGCCACTGGTCCAAAGAGACGCTGGTTGCGGACCTTTGATCTGGTCCAACTTCTGGTTTCCGGTAAATTATCTCTGCAAAGCTTTGATGTGTTTTGCAGTTTGTGGTGTAGAAGCAGGAAGAGAGGAAGCTCTAGGGGATCCAGGTGCTGCTCGGTGTCTGTGCGTTGCACACTAATGAGGCGGTTTTACCTGCATGGCCACGGAGTCGGCCGACCTCCTGATGGTAACGGTGTGCAGCAGCCCGTTGGCCAGCCCCCTCATGCTGCTGCTCAGCACCTCTGCAGCTCTGCCGCCGTCAAGCTTGTACCTCAGCTCCAGCTCATCTTCACAAGCGAGACAAAACAAGGAAACGATTTAAATCTCCAAAACCGGAGATGTTTTCTCCTCTGTGAGAAGGGCGCCTTGTTGTTCTGACAGTCTTTCTGCCAACAGACTAGGATTATGTGTTTAATCTGTTTGATAACTGCTGGATTAGGAGGATATTTTCCTCTCAATATCAGAGTGGATTTATTTCTTCTAAAGTGGAGACTTAACAAAAACGGTTTGGTCATTACTCAGAGCTTTAGCTGGAACCAAATACTTTCAAGACAATATTTCTCTACAACAGTCTGTCTCAAACTGCCCCCTAGTGGTCAGCATGGGACTGCATGTAATGGCAGTTTATTTGCCGTGACTTGAGCTCAAAATGCGATACATAGAGCCAGTTTACAAAATGGCTGTGGTTAAAAATAATAATAATGGATAACTAGCCTAGAATCGGGTAATTCAAAAGAAAAACAGAAAGAAAACAACGTCAGAAATACTTATAAGATTGGAGGAAACCAAGTCAGACTTGCTGAGAGTTTTAATCTGTCGTTCATGAACAATTCGATTCTTTTGAACGAGTCTCAGTTGGTGAGAACTATTCTTTAGTTTTATATGACTGATCCCGTGTTAGGAGCTATTGTAATTTTTATTTAAATCAAAATTATTTAATTGGTGATTAAATACAATTGACAGAAATGTGTGGATAATTTTTATACTTAATAGAGCAGAAGATTTTTGTTTCTGCCAAAGCCAGTCAAGTTTACCTTTCTCTTACTATGCAAATGGTCCTAAAACACTATTAATGCACACAACACAACTTCTTTTTTGATTTCCATGTGTTTGACATCATTGCAAAACCTAGAATTAAAAACTTTCAGAATCTGGAAACGTCCCAGACGTGTTCATGGTTTTGGTCACATTTACCAAGCAGCGTCACCGTTCAAATAAACAACAAATAAAAAAACAACAATAAGCGCATTAAGAGACTAATATTCTAACTTCAGGTATATGAAGATGACGTGTTATTGTTTGTTAAATAGGTTAAGTGGTTCTCTGCCTGAAAAATATTAGGTAATGATCAACCTACCTGATGTTGCTACATTAATTTAAAATAAAAAGATAATCAGTAAAACTCTTGTTTGAGCTCCAGCGGTTTTATCTGTAGTCTTGGTTATCTAAGGGCAAAACAAGGAAAAAGCTCTTAATTGGTTGTTTTACTTTTAGGATGTCAGCACAAAAGCGTAATGCTTCACTTCCTATCAGCTTCCTTAAGTCATTAACAGCAGGAAAAAATCCATCAACAGCAAATCAAGCTGCAAACTGCCATCCGTGTTAGATTCCTGAATAATGAGAGGCTGAAGTTCAACTTCTGGACATATTTTGCAGATAAAACAAGCTTCCAGTCATTTCTTTAAGTGGCTTCTCTTTTCTGCAGAGTTTGACTTCATGAAAAAAAAGAACAATAACAGTTTTTATGAAATATGTGAACTAAACATTTGTTTTCTAAAGCTTACAGGTTACTGTTAGAACGTTACAAAGGAAAGAAAATCACACAAAACAGCAAAAGCAAGTTACTTTTTAAGAACCTAAAAGTTACTTTCCAGAGATGATAGGTTACTTTCCAGACTGCACTTATTTCTGTAAAAAATCCAGGTTATAGTTTGGAATTTGCCATGTTTTTATATGTTTAGTTTTACGTATTTCCCAGAACTTTCCCAGAACTTCATGCTTGCTTTGAAGAGGTTTTCAGGGCTACACAATTTTCAAGAATTTACCTAATATTTTTAACAATTAAAATAGTAATTTCTGGTACCCAAAGGCTCGTTTTAAGGTTAACTCTACATAATGTATACGTAATTTTCAAGAATATCCAGGTTACTTTCTGGAACTGAATTCAAATAGGAGAGTTATCTTAAAAGTACAAACCAATTTTCAGAACTTTTGTCAAAATTGAAAGAAAATGCAAATATTTAGCAAGTACACATAAATTGCATTACATTCACAGAATCTACAAGCCCGGAAATTACAGAATCCATTCTGAAATTTACTTTAGAAGATTTACACTTTATGTTTCATTATTTACAGGCGGTTTTCTAAAACCTACAGATACTTCGCAGCTACTCGCAGGACTTATTATCACAGACAACATTAAAATACACAGTGTAAATAAGTACAAATACTTACAGGTTACTTTTACAGAACTTGAAAGCAGCTTACAAGTTACTTTCACTGGAGTTCAAGTTTACAAATTATTTTTTGATAAGTTGTTCTTCATTTATTTCATTCTCCAGAAAGAAAACTCACTTATAGAGTCAAAAGTAATAAAAACAACATGAAGGAAATCCTTCAGACTTTCCAGTAACATTCTTTAATTAAATTTTATTTACTGCTTAAAAGATTTAATGAAGATTATGTTTAAATGCCAAATATTTATAAATAAAGATGTATTTAATTTATGATGTAACAATTTATTCACTGTATAACTTCATTTTATCCTTTACATTCGACCCTCTGCTGGAATGACCTCCTGACCCGTACCGTGCCTGTTGATGAGCAGAGCTAGATACTGGTTGAAGTGGGAGCCGACGTGGAGCAGCAGCGCCGGACTCTGAGTCGTCCTGAAGCTCAGAGAGACGTTTTCTCCTCTGGGAAGCGGGTCAGAGTAGATGGAGGAGGGCAGGTCGCTGCCGTTTCTGCTCAGCTCGCCGAGCTCTTTGAAGGCGTAGCTGATCGACGTCCCAGATTTAAAGTCGGCTGACACCTCTGGAAGAGAGAGAGGAGATCCCTTCAGAGCGAGGCGTATGGTTTCCTGATGCCTCACAGAAAAACAGCCAGCTCAATGTCAGATTTTATTTCAACATGTGAAGATTAATGTTTGATGTTTAACGGAGACCCATTATGCAAAATTCACAAGTTGGAGGTTTTTATACTTCTTTTTGGGTCTCAATGGCTTCTAAAACAACATCCCAAGTATCTAAAAAGACAAATCCAGCTGATTTTTGGTATTTTTAAAAACCTCCCAATTGCTAAGTCACACTGAGTTGTTACCTAGCAACCCCAGTGGAGTTCCGCCCGTTACCTAGCAACCCAAGTTGAGCTCAAGCACGTTTGGTCACCTGGTTTTACCAGTTTACGTATGCAGCTAGAAATGTCAAGTGTTTTGTTGTTGACTTACCATTTAGAAATAGTTTACTGCATTCTTGTTGGTCGTGCAGGAGGCTACACTTCTGCTTTTCAAAGATGTACAGTTGTATAATTGTGTGTCTGTTTGCAGACATTTTTTTCATGATTCATATCCAAGGAGTTTCTGGTTTTCTGATCCTGCCTGTTTTTGACCACTGCTTTTGCTAGTCCTTACTGCCTGGAGAAGAGTTCTGACCTCCTGTTGCTGAACCTTGCCTGCCTCTGACCCTTCCTCCAGTCCACTGAACATTCGATTTTCCTTGCCTGACCCTTGACCGTTTTGACTTCTGAGCCTCTGGTTGGTGGATATTTGTCCCATTGTCCACCCAACCCTCCCAAGGCTGGATTCCCAGCCCCTGTGGATCCCCATTCCTGACCTACCAGTGTGACCACACCCTGCAGAACCCTTTCAACACCATCTCATTATTTATAATAAAACGTGCCACTTGTCTTGGCTGGATTTTGGGTTCTGGCTGGTTTTATTTAAACGTTACAAAAATTTCTATCTAAGAATGATTTTATTCAAAAATTGTAATGAACATGTTTTGTATTGATCAAAGACGCATCACCCCCTGTAACAGGTCAAATTTAATTTAAATTTTTATCCATTTCTCTCTTAACTAATAGGAGAAAAGTTAATTTTCCAGGATTTTCAGAAGTGGCGTTCCTCCTGCGAAATGTTTAGCTGAAGTATTGCTGACATTTTGAGAACAGGTTTAATAACTTCAGTGTCTCTGACTCATTGTTCAGTGCTGTTATTTAGCCTCTAATTTACAGCTCAGTCCAGGCAGTAATTAAACGTAAATGAACTAAAAAGGTCATGTTGTTTATTAGATTTTTAAAAACCTCTCTCGCGCTTGCTAAGGGTGACTTTGTACACGACCCTTTAACACATGTGGAGTCGGTGCCATGTGGATTCAGTTGTTCTAATATGATTTGAAATATGAAATATGGTTTTGTAATCATATTTTCTTCAGACTTCCATTTCTAACTAAGGACACTGGGGCCTGCAGGTATATGTCGAAATAAAACCAAAGAATAAAATGAACATTTAGTTTAAAAATAATCCATTTAAAGTCATTGAACAGAATACAGCATGAAATGAATTAATTGCGTCCATGTTCAACGTTTACACTCGTACTTGAATATGGCTGCAAACAGATTTGAAATATACAGCCGTACTTGTTAGAAAAGCAGAATTGGAGCCTTCTGCACAAACAAGAATGCAGAAAGCAGTTTCTAGATGCTACATATAAATATACAACTTTTACACTTGCACTTGAAAATGGCTGCAGACATGTAGCATCTAGAAGCTGCTTTCTGCATTCTAGTTGGTTGTGCAGAAGGCTCCACTTCTGCTTTTCTAACATGTATGGTAGTGTGCATGTACAGCCATTTTCACATACGAGTGTAAATGTTGAGTTAGGGGGCGTGGCCAGCAGCAATTTATTTGGATTTAAAGTGATAAAGACCCAAGAACATCTCAAAATGGGCAGAATTGACTAAAATCACATCATCTAAGAATAATTTCATGCAAAAAATATGATAAACAAGTTTTGTATCCCATAGATCCTATGTTAAGATGTTCAAGGAGGTATAACAGGTCAGCTTTAACACAGCAAGGTTTGATTAATATCTTTTTGCCCTTAGTAATGAAAGCTGAAACCATTGCATAAAAACTACCGTCTGATATAAAATTCAGTTTGACGATCTGAGACATGTACGTTTGACAAAAAGCCAAAATAGTGTAAGCAGTTTAACGCAGCTTGTAGAAATACGATGTGTGACAGTTGAGTGAAAGAAAAGTTTTCTTAAGGCTATTTGAAGGCTATTTAAACATAAAACTGTTTTTTCTTTGTGAAATATTAAGCAGTGAGTGCGTCAGCGTGACTCACACACAGTGTGCATCAGCATGCAGTGGGAGATGAATACAGCATGTCAATAGTCGGTGGGCGGGGAGGTTAAGAGGGTCCTTTTAAAGCGCAGAGACGGCTCGACTCTCAAGTTAAAGGATTTACAGACGGTCAGGATAACAATGCATTGTTATTCTCTTTGTTCTCAGTGGGTGTAGCATCAGAGACGCACCACCACCCACCTTCTGAAACAGAGGTGAAGTCGACCAAAAATCTGTTCTGTGAGCTCCAACCAGTTGGCTGGTTATGGTTTTCACACGTTTCTTCTATTCAGAGAATCTGTGTTAATTCATTCGGCCTAACAGATGTGGAGTCGAAGCTTTAAGAGGAATTTTATGAGTTTTTTTCCTCAGGAGATAAATGCCAAATTAGTGCAAAAAAAACAAAACAAAAAAAAAACATCAATCAATTAGATTATTATCAAAAAGCTCATTTATTCCAGTAACTCCATCACTAAGTAAAACATAAATTGTTTAAACACAGATTAATAATTTCATGTCTTTATTACAGTTAGTTATGATCCACTGGGGGCGCGGCTAAATAAAAAGTTACACTCATCATAAAAATTACTTCTAATAGTGAAGCACAACATTTACACAGCATTTAGCAGAAGCTAATGCTGAAGCACGAACTTCAATTCAAATTATATCTGCCTTTAAAGACTACAACCCTCGAGTACCAAAGTCATTTTGACTTCATAATGTACATGTATTCATGTTGATATCATGTTTTCTACTGTCCCTGTTTTATTTTATTCCTGTATGTTTCTTTTTTGAAATGAAGTTATTGGATGGAATGATGGGGAGAGAACATGAGGAGAGGAAATGGAACTGCTGCATTAGCATTCTTCACTCCCTTCACAATAAGAGCATAAATATGAATATCTAATTTCTTAAAGAGTTTTTAACAGCTGATAACCAAAACATCAATGCAAAAATGTTGACGTTTATTCAACTGACAGTTTGCAAAACAGCCAAATAAATTAGCACTTTATGTTTTCAAAGTTAGCATAAGTGCTAAAGAGCTAAATGAAAAATTAGCTCTGTTAATTCACTTTAGTTAATTAGCTGAATTTATGATTTTGTGCTTAAAGCTAATGAATTATAATATTACCTAAGGAAAAAATTTTTTTAATACAGATAAGTGGGCTTAATGTATGTTTAAGACCTGCTTAAAAATTATTTTCAAAATTTTAATCTGACAAAATGAGCCTCACCAGAAAGCATTTTCTAATTTATTGAATATGACTGTGAAAATCTTATAGCTTTGCTTGGGGCCATGTATATCTAAAAATATCTAATATAAATAAATATATCAGATTTGCAAGGAAGTACATGTACTTTAGCACAGATATCACATATCCAAAGCATTATCTGCAAGCAGTTCACCCCCGGTACGATGTAACTTATTATGAATACACAGATTTATACCTGTCTGGCAGAAGACTCCAGTGTAAGCCGACAGGCTGCAGTCGCAGTGGAAGCCAGTGGCTCTCTCCACACAGCGGCCCTGGTTCTGGCACAGCGAGCCGTAGCTGCTGCAGTGACCCGGGCAGCCGGGCCGAACGCCGGGCGTCATCTCTGCCCTCTCCTCCAGGTCCAGAGTAACACCGTTCAGCTGCAGAGCGCGGATGCAGCCTCTGAAACCCCTCTGCCTGGACGCCGTGCCTCCTGCAAACAAAAAATAATCAGAAAATAAAACTACAGGTTGTTGAAATTAAAGATACAGCAGACCAACGTCTACACTCATATGTTTCTGTGGAATTCAACTCAAAATTATTTGCGGTAAATTCGCCTATTCGTAGATTTTTTTCATAAGTTGCGTTTCCATCAACAAGATAATTGCACAATTTAATATTTCGAAAAAAATTTTGCTTAAGGGAATGTTGACAAAAATTTTCGTGCTACGATGAGGTGGTTTTTTGGCCTTATCAAAATTGGCTTATTTTGCAAAACTGCAATGGAAACACCTGAGTCACATGACAACCATATGTTGCCGCTGGCGCAAACCACAAAGAAGTCAACAGGAAGTAGTAGGAGGATGATGTTGTGGCACGGTTTTTAATAATTTATCACGTGTACAAACTTATTAAATGATTTTAATTTCATTTCTTATTTATTGAAAACGCAGCAATTGCGAAGTTCCACAACAATAGTGGAATACTGACAAATTTCACACAAATTGTGGAAAAGAAACACAGCTACAAAGTATAAAGTTGAACTACTTAGACGGAAAGATGCAAGTGGCTAGTGTTTGCAAAGCAGCCAATCCAGAAGCTGCATTTGTTTCCTTGCAGCTGATTGGCTGTATGATTAAAAACAGAGATAAAGAAAACTGTAAGGAAAATCCCCCAAACATTAAGAGACTTTCAGTAAGCCTAAAAGAAAGTCTTATAAGCAAAATAAGACGGTAATGGTTGAAGAGTTTTGCACAGTACTGCATGTTATCCAAGTGAATAAAATAAAAATGTGCCCTTGCTTTTATTTGAGCACATTCAAAGAAGCATCAAACCTTCACAGATTCGTCAATAAATGCAAAAAGAAGCAGATTTTGTCTCTGCTTTGTTTGCAAAAGCAACTCAAAAAGTTTAATTTTGCTCAGAGAAAAACTTTTGCAGCTGAAAATATAGCAATCAGAAAAGTGAGGAAGTTTTCCTTTTCATTCAGACGAGTTTCTGTTGTTGTCGTTGTTCAAACATGGCAACCTTTCAAAGCAGAGATCAGGAGCTGAAGCTTTTATTGTCCTCGAAGTACAAACTCATGAAGCAGCTGTTTGCTCCCTGAGTTTCAACATGACAGCTTCTTATTTTCACACCAATAAATCACAGAGAGACTCTCCCCCAGTCTGCGCTCTGATATTACTTATAAATTATTAAAGCAGCAAAGCTACAGACAGAAAACCCCCTTCAACGTCTCGTCTGACAAAACACAATGAAAGCAGTTGTCCTGTATTAGAAAATGACCAGCATTAATGCATGGAAGGATAAATCGTTGAGACTCTGATCCTCTTTAATGTGCACCGATCAGGCTTCTTATGCAAATATCAACACAATTTAATCACTGTCAGAATCACAGCTACCGTTATCCAGCTTTCTGCATAATTATTCAGATGATTAAGCTGCAAATTCACCTGTTCACTCTCACTGTTCCCAGAAGAGCAACTAACACAGTTTCTAACACCTGCAAGAAAATTCATATTTACAGATTTAATGAAGAATTTCTTTCAGTTCTAGTGTTCAACATACCAGTGTATAAAATAAATAACAATCTGGCTTTAAAGGGTTTTAAATTAATTTACATTTTTCATCTAGATGTTTAAAAATAATGTTTTTATGGTCTTGCTGAAACAACACAATGCAATGACATCAGTAGGTTCAATACAAATATGCACAAAACTTTTTTGATATTCTGCTAATGTTGGAAAAAAGAAAAACAATTTCGAAATTGCAATGTTGCCATTAAACAAATGTAATTTAAATCACACGTGAATACGTTCATCCATGCAGTAATTAATTAAAAATCAACCTTCGAGTGACAAACTAAATTTTTGATGAACTGTGCGATGGTTTGAGACCCCTAGTGGAGGAGGCCGGTTACTACAAATTAACGTTTTGCTGTTGATGCAAAAATAAAGTTTTCTGTTGGACTTTGGTGAAATACAAAAAATCATTCTGGCACAAAAACTTCTCATCAAAATGTGATTTCTTTTCCCCTGTAATTGGCATGTGGCCATTACATTTTCAGTATGTAGCTCTTAAAAGTATACTTCATTTTTATTTGTTAAAATCATCATTATTTAGCATCATATTTAACAGCAGATACTAAAGGATGATTGACAACGCTAAGACACTCCTCCTTGCTCTGATTGGTTGTTTTTGACGCTTCTGCAGACGACAATAGCAGCTCAGGGAAAAGAAGGAGGAGACACATTTTTTTCACAGATTATCTGTCTCATATTATTGTAAAAGTTAAAGATTATAAGAATTATAAGAAAGATTCTCTTGTAAAAGTTAAGGACTTTTACAAGAGAATCTTTCTTATAATTCCAATTGGCACAATTTTATAGTCAATGGAGACACAGCTAGACAAATTTAATTACACATAAGTGGTTTGAATGGCTGCAAATAAACCAACCTTTCAATTTTTAAAGGGAAAGTTTTATGTTTTATGTATTTTTGTTATCTTTACATCATGTATTTTCCTCATCAAAAACATAGCAGGAGTTTTGTCTTGATTCTTTCATGCATGTTTTATGAATCTTTTAATCTTTTGTGGCAACCATTCAATATGACCAAACATTTATTTCCACAAAGAATGAAGAAACAATGTTGTGAAGAGTAAAAGCTTCTTAAAGAGACAGATACCCAATTTCTAAGTGCTAAATTGCAAAGTCAAATTTCTTTTAAATTATGTTTCGTATGTATTTCTACAACAATTGAAGATAATATTGTTACAAAATGGCACTTAGTGGTTGGAAAATATGTAATAGCGTCCCTTTATGCCTCATAGCCTCCTGGCTACCAGGAAAAAAAATATTGTCCAATCACCATTTTTTTAATCCCACATTCTTTGTAAGGTAATTAGAATATTTATGTACTTACTTTGTCTCTTCCCATAAAATGTGTTATTACTGTTGAATGCCATTTTTATGAATTAGAAAAAGGTACGTGCAAAAGTCCCGCCCCTTCACATGTGGTATCATTGAAAAGCCCTAAATGTCCTCTCTAGATACCAAAAGGAATTAATTCAGTAGAATGCAGGGGGTGGGAGATATTCAAGTTTAGAAATGTCCTCTACAGAGGACAAAAATGAACTACTGGTAGTCATATATGTTTTACCTAATGTAGAAATTAAAAAGGAAGATTTAATAAACAAGTCCTCTGATATACATTACTATATTTATATATCTATACATATAGTAATGTATAGATATACATTACTATATTTATATATCTATACATATAGTAATGTATAGATATACATTACTATATGACTTTTTCAGCTTTTTGGACCATAAAACATCAACCTGAGGCTCATTTATTTGCATATACAGGTGGATTTCTACATTAAGACGACGTTTCTGGTGCATCAGTAGGAAAAGTGGGGGAATGACAGAAATCTTTATACTATTTTAGATATTTTTTCTGTGAAAATTAAAGGATAGGACATGGCTGGCTAACTGCCTTGGAGTGTCTTTTCATTAAAATGGTTTATTTTAGATTTCATCAAGAAAAACTGAGATATAAAAAATCATTGAAAATCAACCCTGAGGCTGAACATATCAGATGTCTGCAGATGATTGTAGTTAGCATCAGATCAGAGCCGCAGCAGTGCTTTTGTTGAACGTGTGCAATTTCATCAATAACCGCATACCTTTTAATGCAGCTGCTCGTATTTCATACAACAATCCACTCGAGGAAACTGCAGGGCTTTGAAGCCTCAGAAACTCTTCACTTGACCTTGTTATGTTGTTCAAGAACCAAGAAATATCTCATCTCATTTTCTGTCAGTAAAAAACCTTTTAGCAGAGCCGAGAGGATAAACGTGTGATTAAATGTAGCGCCAACGATCTCAGTCAGTCTGCACACATTAGCGGACGATCAAACCAAATATCTGTTAGTAAAATTAAAATGACAGCGACAATAGTGAATATGCAGCTGAAAGAAGGAGTTTAAGGCCAAGAAGCATTGTGGGAATAAAGCAAAGCAGAGAGAGGAGTGAAGGAAATACAGATAAAACGTCTGTGAGTGATCAAAGCTGCAGTTCTCGACAGAGATAACTGCGTCTGCAGTGGGAGCACATTTGTTATTATGAAGGATGAAATTAAAGTTGGTAGATATAAATAACCAGCTGATTAATAACACTGTGCACCAATCTGAGGGCTGAATAACATAAATAAAAGATTAAAAACAATAGTTATCTTTGAAAATGTTGCTTATTTTTATGCAGTTTTTGATTAAAATGTGATTCATTGCATTTTAATTAATTACAGACTCTGAAAATGACTTGATTGAAAATTTTAATCAAGTCCCACCATAAAAACATAGTTTGTAAAAATATTTTACACAGAACTCATCAAGTGGAACAGATTTAGCTTAAGCTGGTCCAAAATCTGTAAAAACAAAATCTCATATTAAGCACCTTTACCTGTAAATTTAATAATCAGTTAATGCAAAACTTTGTCAAATAATCTACAAGTGACGAAGCGTTCTCAAAATGAATGCTAAGTTACTGCATTTTAGCCAACAATTATTAGTTTATTTGCATTTTTAATATACTTCTAATTTTGTATAAAAATGCTTAAGTGATTAAATAAAAATCCTGCAAATTGTGCCAATTTTTTATTCGATTCGATTAACTGTCAGATTCCCAGAATTTGATGCTGTTTAGTCTTTTTTAAAAAGCATAAACTCTATAAAACATTTAAAACACCAAATCAAAGCTGGAGGATTGCTTGGAAAGCTTTACAGTGGAAAGAACGCTGAGCTCATTTCTTATTGCGGCAGATTTTAGCACCAATCAGAAGCAGCGGTGGGACGTTGGTTATGAATCCATGCAAGGCAATAACACGGCTTATTAATCAAAACAATAGACTACAGCGCCATGTAAAGCAGAGGAGGATTATGGCCTATAAATACAGCTGATGAATAAACACAAGAAGACACAGCATCTTATAACTCAAACAATGGAACAGTTTGCAGTCTTGTAAATACAACTCATGTACTGAAATATCTTTAAATGACAGCATTAAGGAGGCCGAACTTAAATAACCCAGCATTTAGTTTTACATAATTCATGTCAGTGGGGAGGAACAGCCTGCAGATTAATTAGCTGCACAGAGAGAAATGCCTGTTCTCCCAGGAACGGCTTGTTTAGCAGGACAGTTAATTCAATGTGAGTCTTTTTTTTGGTAAAACAGAAACTAAGTTGTTTTAGAAAAGAAGGAGATTTTGGAGATTTTGCAGTTCGTGTCTTTGGAAACATTTAGTGAAGCCGCACAACGTGCAACTTATGTTTAAATTTTTTGGGGCGGATTTGCTCAGAACAGGAAAAGTTCAGTGCTCTTCATTTAATGAAAACAATAAAAGTACTTAAGAGAACCAACCCTTACAATATGGACTGAAATTTGTAGTTGCAAAATGACAAAATGAGAAAAAAAAAATCAAGGGGAGAGAATATTTTAGCAAAGCACTCCATATCCAGGGCCTCCATATGTCTTCATGTTCATCTGGACTCAACTTCCCAGCATTCCCAGTCTGGTCTTAACCACTGCTAATGAAGGAACTGTAAAACATTATGCAATGTTCTTCTCACAAGCAAAACAGAAGGGATTTTCAGGCACTTACCCAAATTTTAAGAACTGAATTAAGAGTTTGGCTTTCAGTAAAGTTCAGACCATTTTACTAAACTTTATTATTAGCCTGTACTAATTTTAAATAATCTTGTTTCCACAGATGAGAATTCAATCAACTCAAATGTTTATAAGTGGAGGATTGAACAACTTTTGGTGAAGTAGGAATGTAATAAAATGAAACCCAAACAGTCTCATGTTAGCCCAGCTATGGTACTTAGAATAACATAAGGAGGAATGATTAGGGTTAACTTCAGTGTGGTAGCCTCCAGCAGTAAGTTAATAATTTAATTGCACCGTCTGCTTATTTACAACACTGATGCTAATTTCTTCTGGTTTCAGTAAATTTTTTTCAGGTTCCATCTCTTTGTAAGTGTGTGCAGGGTTAACGGATCTGCGGACCCTTACATCTGCTAACCCAGTAAAAGAAAAACAGAAAGACTAAGAATAAAATCAAAATATACATATTTAAAATGCACATATTTTTACTTTTTTATAATATACTATATGGTAAAAACCAAATATTGTCATCAGAAGTACTTTTTCTTTCCACCAACTGTAAATATTGAAGTTAAATTTTTAAAAAAATATTTTAAAAAGCACAGCATAGAGCAGCAAAACCAGCTGATCAAAGGTGCTGGAGTTCCACTTGGGTTGCTAGGTAACGGACAAAACTCTGCTGGGGTTGCTAGGTAACGGGTCGAACTTCGCTGGGGTGAAGGGCAGTTTCTGCTGATTTGTGACTTAATGTTAACTTATCATTTAATGTTTTTGGCAACAGTAACTTATTGCCAAAAACTAGGTGGGTGTTTTCTTGCGAAGCTTAGGCTGGTTTTAGAAGCAGTAGAGACTCAAATGGAAGTACAAAACATGGAAAACGTGAATTTTTCATAATGGAACCCCTTTAAAATAAAGCCAGTGATTAACTACAAAAACTTTCTGCATCTGAGTAACCAAAGTGACCTTATATTTACAACAAACATTTGAAAATGTGGTAAAACCAGTGGGAATGCTTAGGATGAACTGCCATGAAGGTGATCTGTTCTACAATGGATTTTTTCATAAAGTGACTCCCGCTGTTAACATGTATGTGAAATTAGAGATTTACTGTTGGGAAAAACAGGCTAAACGCTTTCAGCAGATGTAGTGAACCTCAAATTTCCTGGAGACCACAGAAGATATTGTGTGAGAAAATAAACAGTAGATTGGATTTATATCCAGGAAGCGTTCAGTGGAGAGATATGAGACGGTGAAAAGCTCGAGAGAATTAAAGGATAAAGAGATAAAAGCCACAATCGCTGCAGCTGAGGAAGAGAAATGAGGGGAAAAACGAGCCGTCCTCACCTAGAAAGAGCTGGCTGTTGAGCTGCAGGTGGATGTGTCCGTCAGCTGGAGCCTCCTGGGTGGCGACTGGAAGGTCGTCCAGACGGAGCGACGCCTCCTTCACGTTCCGCTCGGCTCGGACGCGATGCCACCGGTCGTCGTTGAGCGGGTAACTCGACTCAACGCTAACCTCCAGTGGGCCGTTTCCAACATCGAAGGAGAAGACAACCTGAGTGGAGGCTGAAATGATAAGGAAAAAAGAAATGTTAAAGCTGAAGAAGCAAAGAAGCAGAGGCTCAAGAACTGAACCCAGTGGAATCCCGCATTAAAGCTGCAGTACGTAACTTTTATAAGGAATATGTGTTTTACAGTGACACTAAAAGTTTAAATTTAACAAATCTAGGAAATTCAGATCTAATTCCTTCAGATTTATCAGCAGCAGAGACATAAAATACATTTATTCTAATATTCTTTGCTGTAATAGAACTGAATGATTGAAATCAGGTAATTTTGTTATATAAATGTATTCCAGTACGTTCTACTGTCATCCTGACCTCCAAAAGTAAAACTATTAGATGGAATCCAACAATACATGAAACAGAACAGAAAGTGAAGTGAGAGTAACAGAAGGAACTAGCAGAGACTGAATGAACCAGAGGGCAATTTATCCTGAGGAGAGATGATTAATGGACCGAGATAGAGTGAGAGCAGCTGAGTGATTAACTGAGAACAGAGACAGGGAATCTAAAAGGAAAGAAAGGCAGAAGACTAGCAGGGACAAATAATACGGCTGGTCAGGAGGTGCCGCCAAAAGCAACAGATAAAAAGGTTCACATAATGAGCTAAAAAAGAAAAACAATAATGAAACATGGCCCAATGTTTTCCTCTTGTGAATCATTTCTAAGAGCCGAACAGTTGGCAGTACTGCTGCCTGGCAGTAAGAAAGTCCTGGGACTGAATCTTTCTGCATGGAGTTTGAATGTTTCATGGTTGTGGTTATCTCTGTTCTCTTGCATATTTTCCTACCAGAGTTTCTTCTTCCACTCAACTTTCTATGAATTCGATACAACTTTTTCACATAGAGACACTAAATTTTAAGCGACAATCATCAAAATTACAAGAAATAACGGCTTGGATTATTTAGTCTATGTGAAAAGAAAGGTATCCATCTTCCATTTCAGCTGAGATCTACAGAAAGATTATTTGACCACATGGGATTTATTTAGGGCGTTTTCTGAAGTGGACTACAGAATAGGGAATTCTGGGTAAATACAACCAAAAAAACACGGAAATCTAATGCTAGCGGCAGAAAAGGTTCATTGTCTTTTAGCAAAGACAAAATCTGACGTTTCAGATTTTTGTTTGCATTTTGAGAAGTGTGTTGCTTCCTTCAGCGCCCCTATAGGCAAGGAGGGGAACAGCTTTTTCAATGCAGTCCTGTGAGAAAGAGAACAGCAGCAGCTGAAAATGTAACAAATGTTGCAAATTTTGTCTCCAAATCTACTGGACTATCTATCAGGTATGAGAACAGCCTAGAATAACCTCAATAAAAAGAGCCCAAATAAAGTCCAGGTCTCTTAATTCGTCTCATTCAGGGAATTTCAGATCAAAAAACATTTCCTTCCCTGCAGGATTTTTCCAACCACACTGCATTCTCTGGGTGTGAGCAGATTAAAGCTTCCAGGTTTTACTGGCACATCATCCTAATCTGCATCAAATCCCCGTCCTCGGGCTCCCGCCGCACTCACAGCTCAGCTCGATGCGGATGAAGTCTTTGATGCCCAGGTTTTCCAGGAACACCCCGAAGGAAGCAGTGGTCTTAAAGAAGAAGGAGACGTCTGCGCTCAGCTCTCCGTGGAAGGTGGGGAAGTGGAGGTACGACGTCTCCTGGTCGAAAAACGCCGCGTTCCAGAAGTTTTCTGTGAAACAGGAATTTGACTGTCACACAACAACCAACAGAGCAGCCGTGTCTGACAAAATGGCTCAGGCTTACTTTGATAATTATTCAGATTTTATTACAGCTGGAAACATGAAGGTTCATGTTCTGGCCTGAACCTTCAGAGCCACATAAAGGCAGTTACAAAGTCGGCTTTCTATCACCTGAAGAACATCTCCAGGATTAAAGGACTTATGTCTCAGCGAGATCTAGAGAAACTCATCCATGTGTTTATCTTTAGTCGCATTGATTACTGTCACAGCGTCTTCACAGGTCTGACTAAAAAACCAATCAGATCCAGACGCTGCTGCTGAGTTCTGACTAAAACCAGGAAGTTAGAGCACATCACCCAGTTCTACAGTCCTTCACTGGCTCCATGTAGCTCAGAGAATAGACTTTAAAATGCTGTTGTTAGTCTATAAATCACTGAACGGTTTAGCACCACATTAAAGATCTGCTGTTGTTGTATCAACTTTCCAGACCCCTCAGGTTCTGGTTCTGGTCTGCATCCCCAGAACCAGACCCAAACAAGGAGAAGCAGCATTCAGCTTCTATGTACCACAAATCTGGAAAAAACTTCCAGAAAACAGCAAAACAGCTGAAACACTGAGTTCCTTTAGAACAACACTAAAAACTGACCTGTTTAGAGTTGCTTTTGATTAATAATAAAAGAAACATATTTTAAGACTTTGATGATGACACTTATCAAACTGTAATGTTTTTCTAAATTGTTGGTTTTATGGTGTTTTATATGACTCTGTATCTTTGTCCTGACAATTAATTACTCCCCCAGTAAATTTATCAGAAGGAACATTAAACTTAAATGGGATGCCAAAAAGCTGTAATACCTTTATAGATGAATGAAACCAGTGATGGACTTACTGTCGCCATGGCACTGCAGCGATCCCACCCTGTAAGCAGCTTCTGAACCGGGCCTCTGAACGTCACCGAGCACCAGCGATCGGACCGGCAGGCTCTCCTTATGGGAAATAAAACCCGCATCTTCGCTCCTTTGAGAGGAAGAGGAGAAAAAGATCCGATAGGAGGAGATAAACTGACACGGTACAGATGAAAGGAAACACTGTAAGCAGAGTTTTTGTATTTTTTTTGTTCCACAGTAAAATTAAAGCACTCTTCTTGCTTTTTTTAGGTAAGTTTTCCAGCAATACTTTGGAGATAAAAACAATACAAACAAACAAAAAAAGGAGTTTCAATTCATGATTATATGATATTATTTATTAATTGCTGTTATTAGTAATGTCTTGTCATAGTATTCTACATTGTATAGCAGGCACAAATAAACTAAAATAGACCAAAATTTAATGTTTAGAAATCTCTTTCACTTTATGCACCTTGTCTGGTTGAAGAACAAAACAGTTACTTCACAAAAAAAAGCTCCAATTTAAATAGCCTTGTTCAATGTAAAAAAATAGATGCCAAT